GCAGACTCAAGGGTCCCAGGTTCGATTCCGGTCAAGGGCATGTGCCTTGGTTGCGGGCACGTCCCCAGTAGGGGGTGTGCAGGAGGCAGCTGATTGATGTTTCTCTCTCATTGATGTTTCTAACTCTCTATCCCTCTCCCTTCCTCTCTGTAAAAAATCAATAAAATATATCTTAAAAAAAAAGTCTGAGGACCCCTGGCTTAGATATTATATCATACACATTTATCAACCTACCGTTAATATCTGCTGGACTTTAGCTTCTACTGAATGAGCTTGGAATTTTCTGAGTGGCTCCATTCTATATGTATTAGCAAACCTAAATTTTGCCAAAGAACTCTTCCATTCTTTACTTATCTCAGCAATGGAATCATCAAATGGAGGCTCTATATACAGAACATCATGAGACGATTCTTTCAGCCTTTCTTGTACAATCTGTGTATACTGAAAGAAAGAGGTGGGGAGAGGTATTGATTTACTTACTTATTTACTAGAGGCCCAGTGCACGAATCTGTGCAAGGGTGGGGTCCCTGGGGTGGCCTGCAGAGATCGGGCCCCAGCTCACGCCCCCAACCTCACAGACCCTGCTCCACCATCTCACCACAGTCCTGCTCTCATCAGGGCCCATTGGGGCCAGCAGTGCCTCCACTGCTGCCCATTGCCAGCGCTGCATCACCGATGCCCACCATGTTCCTCGCCACCCCCTGATGGTCGGTGCTCGTCATAGCGGGCGGGCGAACTCTTGGTTGAATGATCACCCAAGGGGACAATCTGCAGATTAGGCTTTTATTACATAGGAGGATAGGACTTATTTATAATTCTTTATTACTGAAAGTATTACATGTCCCCTTTTACCCCCAATTACCCCCTCTAGCCCCCTCCCCTTCATATGCATACAAGGTCTTTGATTACCTCCTACACACCCACCCTCCCCCACCTTCCCTCTGAGATTCTGCACTGTTCCATGCTTCCATGTCTCTGGATCCACTCTGTTCATCAGTTAGTGCATCTATTGGTATGATAATGTGATTTTTGTCTTTCAATTTCTTTATGTGATGTATCACGTTTATTGATTTGTGAATATTATACCAGCCTTGCATCCCTGGAATAAATCCTACTTGGTCATGATGTGTGATCTTTTTAATATATTGCTGGATGCGATTTGCTAATATTTTATTGAGGATTTTAGCATCTATGTTCATCAGGTACATTGGTCTGTAATTCTATTTGTAGTGTCTTTATCTGGTTTTGGAATTAGGATTATGCTGACCTCATAAAAAGAGTTTGGAAGTGTTCCTCTTGGATTTTCTGAAATAGTTTGAGGAGTATAGGTGTTACTTCTTCTTTGACTGTTTGGTAAAACTCCCCTGTGAAGCCATATAGACCTGAGCTTTTGTTTGCTGGGGTTTTTTATTATTATTATTATTACTGCTACTATTTCATCAGTTATTATTAAAACATATACAGGTTTTCTAATTCCTCCTGATTCAGTTTTGGGAGACTGTATTTTTCTAGGAATTTGTCCATTTCATCCACATTGTCTAGCTTGTTGGCATATAGTTGTTCATAGTATTTTCTTACAATCCTTTGTATTTCTGTAGTGTCAGTGGATACTTCTCCACTTCTGTTTCTGATTTTATTTTATTTGGGTCCTCTCTTTTGTTTCTTGATGAGTCTGGCTAACAGTTTATCAATTTTGTTTATCCTTTCAAAGAACCAGCTTTTGGTTTCATTGATTTTTTTTATTGTTTTTTGTATGTTACTTATTTCTGCTCTAATCTTTATTATTTCTTTCCTTCTACTTACTCTGGGCCCTTCTTGTTGTTCTCTTTCTAGTTCTTTAAGTTGTAAGGTTAAATAGTTTATTGCTGATTTTCTTGAGGTATGCCTGTAGTGCTATGAACTTCCCTCTCAGGACTGTTTTTGCTGTGTCCCAGGTATTTGGGGTTTGTTGTGTGTTCATTTGCATTTGTTTCCATGAAATTTTTTATCTTTCTTGATCTCATTGGTAACCCATTCATCCTATATAATAAAAGGCTAATATGCAAATCTACCGAACAGCGGAACAACTGGTTGCTATGATGCGCAATGACCACCAGGGGGCAGACGCTCAATGCAGGAGCTGCCCCTGGTGATCAGTGCACTCCCACTGGGGGAGCACTGCTCAGCCAGAGCCCTGAGCCTCTCCCACCTCTGTGGCATTGCTGCGAACCCCAGCAGGGACACCCACCTTGAAGGGGCTGTGGCCAGACTGCAAACAGCCACCACCCTCTCACCCAGGCTGGCCAGGCACCCCAGCAGGACCCCCTCCCTGAATGGGGTGTGGCCAGCCTGAAAACAGCCCTCAGCCCCTCACCCAGGCTGGCCAGGCACTCCAGCAGGGACCCCCACCCTGAAGGGGGTGTGGCCAGTCTGAAAACGGCCCTCAGCCCCTCACCTAGGCTGGCCAGGCACCCCAGCGGGACCCCCACTCTGATCCGGGACACCCTTCAGGGCAAACCAGCCGGCCCCCATCCATGCACCAGGCCTCTATCCTGTTGAGCATCTGCCACGTGGTGGTCAGTGTGCGTTATAGCTACCAGCTAGTTGGCTAGTTGCTTAGGCTTTTATATATATAGACTAGAGGCCCAGTGCACGAAAGTCATGCATGGGTATGGTCCTTAGGCCTGGCCTGCTATCAGGGCAATCTTCCCAGCTGCCCGCAGCTGGCCCTGTCCCCCGCCACCACCCACCCCTGGTTCCCTGTTCTCCATTGGGTGATGGGTGCCTGATGACCGGGGGAAGGGACCGAGAGGTCGGCTGTTCCTGCCTGCTCACCAGCCCCACCCCTGCCGCTGGAGGCCATCAGGTGATCAGAGCCTGCCAACTGGGGAAAGGGACCAAAAGGTGGTCAGTGTGCCTCATAGTGACTGGTCCAGTGGTCGTTCCCATTAGGGTCAATTTGCATATTACCCTTTTAGTATATAGGAATGAGGCTTGGTGCATGGGTGGAGGCTGGCTGGCCTGCCCTGAAGGGGCCCTGGATCAGAATGGGGAGTCCCCGCTGGGGGCAGGGTAGCCTGGGCAAGGGGTTGCAGGTGGTTTGCAGGCCAGCCATGTCCCCAATCAGGGTGGGGGTCCCCACTGGGGGGGTGGGGCCAGCCTGGATGAGGGGCCGTGTCTAGAAGACGTCCGGTCTATCCATCTAATTAGCATATTACCCTTTTATTAATATAGATATGCTTTGCAAATTATTTCTCCCATTCATTAAGATGCCTTTCCACTTTGACTATGCATAAGCTTTTTAGTCTGATGGAGTCTCCTTTATTTTTGCTTTTGTTGCCTTTGCTTTGGAGTCCAATTTTTCCAAATAAATGTAGCCATTGATTTAATCTTCTTGCCCAACTGATCTCAGTAAGGCTTGCAGTGCTAAAGTGGTGAGAGTGTACATCCCTGTCTTGCTCCTGATCTTTGAGGAAGTTTTCAGCTTTCCACCATTAAGTATGATGTTAGCAACAGCCTTGTCATATATGGTCTTTATTATGTTAAGGTATGTTTCCTCTATACATACTTTGTTTTTATCATAATTGTATATTGATTTTATGTCAAAGGCTCTTTCTACATCTATTGAGATACTCATGATTTTTACTGGTATTCTTCATTTTGTTAAAGTGGTGTATCCAATTGATTGACTTGGGGATGCTGAACAATTCTTGCATCCTTGCAATAAACCCCTCTTGATCATGATATATGATCTTTTTAATGTATTGCAGAATTCAATGTGCTAATATTTTTTGATAATTTTTGCATCTGCATTCATTGGGAATATTGGCTTGTAATTTCTTCTTGTGGTGTCTTTGTGTGGGTAATGTTGGCGTCAGAGTGATATTGGCTTTGTAAAATGAGTGGGTAGGTGTTCCTCTTTTATGTCTTGGAAAAGTTTGAGAAGGATAGCTATTGATCCTTCTATAAGTGTTTGGTAGAATTCACCTGTGAAGCCATCTTGCACTGAACTTTTGTTTGTTGGCAGTTTTTTCTTTACTGTTCAATTTCTTTACTAGAAGTTGGTCTTTTCAGGTTATTTTTTCATGATTCAGTCTTAGAAAGCTGTACGCTTCTAAGAATTTATATATTTCTTCTAGATTATCTAAGTTGTTGGTGTATAGTCATCCACAGTAATCTTTTGATTCTTTATATTTCTGTTATCAGTTGTAATGTCTCCTTTTTCATTTCTGATTGTTTGCCCCCCCCCTTTTTTTCTTCGTGAGTCTAGGTAAATATTAATTCTGATTATCTTCAACTAGCTCTTAGTTTCATTGACCTTTTCTCTTGTCTTTTTAGTCTCTCTCATTTATTTCCTCTCAGATCTTTGTTATTTTCTTCCTTCTACTAACTTTGGGCTTCACTTTTTTTTCTAGTTCTTTTGTGGTATAAAGTTAAATTGAAATTATTCTTGTTTCTTGAGGTGGGCATTTATCATTATGAACTTCCCTCTTACACTGCTTCTGCTGACCTCATAGATCTGGGTGTGTTGTATTTCCATTTTCATTTCTATGAAGGCATTTTTTAAATTTCTCTCTTAATTTCTTCACTCACCCACTTGTTATTCAGTAGCATGTTGCTTAATCTCCACATATTTATGGATTTTGGTTTTCTTCTTGTAATTTATTTCTAGTTTCATAACACTGTGCTATGAAAGGTGCTTTATACGATTTAAATTTTCTTAAATTTATTAAGACTTGTTTTATAACTTAACATATGATTTATCCTGGAGATTATTTCAGGTGCTTTTGAGGGGAATGCTCTGGATATATCTGTTAAGTCCATCTAATCTACCATGTCATTTAAGGCTGTTTCCTTATTGATATTCTGTCTGATCTATCTATTGATGTAACCACAGGTATTAAAGTCCCTTGCTTTTGTATTGCTGACTGTTCCCCCCTTTAGGTCTGCTAATATTTGGTTTATATATTTAAGTCCTCCTATCTTGGACAGCACCTACATTTTATTCTTTTTATATGTTGTTGGGTTTAATTTGCTATAATTTTGTTAAGAATTTTTGCCTCCATGCTCATGAATACTGGTCCATTTTTTTCTTATTACTCCATATTTAATAGCAGGGTAATATTGGCCTCATAGAATGAGTTAAGAATTTCCTCCTTTTTAATTTCCCAGAACACATTTGGTAGAAACTCACTAGAAAAGCTATCAAGTCCTGAAGTTTTCTTTATGGGACCGTTTTAATCTATAGATTCATTTCCTTTAACACATTGTTTGCGGGTAGTTTTTATAGCGTGCTAACAGGTGGCACGGGCCATTTTTGCTAATTTTTTGCGCAAATGGCAAAGTTCAGTAAAATTACGGTAACTTTAGTTTATGTATTTATACGTTACCCACATTCTACCACTAGTCTATAAAAAACGTATTAATACGTGTCCCGCACTCTACTACACTGGTAGAACGTATAAATAGGTAAAACGTATAAACACGTT